CTTTCTATTCCTTCTTATAACACAAAAGGGTAGGTCATTCTAGCTTGAGTGTGAAAGAGGGAGTAACACAGTCCCAGAAACAGATCCTAATACCTACTACATGCCACAAGATGTCTGAGCACAAAGTTTATTCCAGGCTTCGCTACTGAACTGCTTCATGAGCATTAGGAAGTCAGTGCACTTCCATCCAGCAGCTCCATTTCTCTAAACTGATAGCAACATTGCCTTGCTATAATTAGAGGTTCGGAAAAACAAGGGATAGCAGTAAAGACAAAGAATTGGATTCTTCAGCCAAAAGAAGAGAAGACTGAAGGGAAAAATCCTCTAAGTCTTTAAAAAAGATACTCCACAGCCTTCTAAGCTGGTTCATCTTATGGTCTAACTGACCTCACTGTTATAAAGGTTCCTCCCCCACTGTCTAACATAACTTTCACTTGCTGGAAAATAAACCCTTCTTATCTGCTATGTCAAGGACGTGGAGCAGAAATTATTCCCTTTCTCTTTGCATCATGGTACTCACTAACTTTTATCATTGGCTATGGAAATTGTATCATAATATTGCATGGATCTTGGAGTGCATTTTGGAGTTTCAGTTAAAGTAGACTAGCAGTATGGAAAATGTTTAATATGTCAGATAACCCAAAGTTGCCTAAGGTGGAATTCATCACCATTTGAGGCAAGTACCCCAGGCTTCCTTTATAGTCAATGAAGCCTTGGCCATGATCCACCTCATCTTCAAGTTCCAAGTCTAAACCAAATCATAAATGGCCCAGTTTCTCTTCACTATTTGGTGAGCGTAGGATGACTGTTTCAACTATGGATGCATATATAAGAGACACAGACTCATAGAACAATTTCATTTGCAAGGGAGCTCCAGAAGTCATCTAGTCCAGCCCACTTCTCAAAGCAGGTCTAACTAGGTCAGGTCGCACAGAGCTGTATCCAGTCAAGTCCTGATACCTCCAAGGATGGATATTGCACAAACTCTGGGCAACCTGTTCCAGTATTTGACCATCCTCATGGTGAAAAAAAGTCTCCTGGTATCTAACCAGAATTTCCTGTTTTCCAACTTGTGTCCATTACAGATGTCTAAAATCAGCTGAGATCTGACCCCTAATGCAATTAACAGGCTACTGTTTTACAATATTGTGCTTGTGCTCACTTTATTTGAAGGTCTTTGCAGCATGCAAAGAGTTTTCAAACCTGTGTTAATGCAAGATGTGTTCCAAGCATTAGCAAGACAGGGAGTTAGGAAAGGTCTAAAAGCTCCACCATGGTCAGTATTTCTGGAAGAGGAAAGTAATGAGAATCCTCCCCTCATGCCAAGCATAGAAGTTAAGAGACTCCTCCATAGGACAGTCAGGTTTTGGCTCCCTATTCAAAATCTAAAAACAGGGAAATATAAGCAAAATCAATTAGAAAGCCCAGCATTCATTTGGAGGAGGTCCATCAGTGTTACTGTGAGAACTAAAGAAAATACAAGAAATGAGAGCTTCAGACATGAGAGTTACCCGGCAACTGCTGGATAAAATCTATGCATTTGTAATAGACAAAGCTCATCTGCCTGCTTATAATTCAGGGAAGATCAGTGTGTTGTTATCAGTATAGCAGAATTTGAGTAATAAATTTTGGTGGACACCATCATTTGCACTTCCCATTTGGTTAGAAGGGCATTGTAACAGTTGTTTTTCTCACCAAAAGCAGCTGGCTGGTGATATTATTTTTCAATTAATGGTGCTACATTATGAATAGATTACTGCATGTAGACATGAAAACACTGACAATTAGTGAAAGAAATTAAGCGATGTAACAAAGTAGGTTTTGGTTTCCATTTAATTGGAGGGTAGGGAAAGTCGGAGATGCAATAAAGCCCTTCTGGACATAGTGAAATTTGTATGCTGAAGGCTCTCAAAACAATCCAAGACAGACTGGGTGAATGGATCTAGAAAAAGCGAGAATTAGGAAAGTGTAGAGGAACAGAGAGTAAAGATGCAAAAGACTTAAAGCAGTATTGAGAAAATCTACGGGGATTTTGATTTTTAAATAAGAATGTAATTTTGCACTGAATCCTTAAATGAATAGAGATTTGAGTTATTTAGAACTGAAATGCTGTCATTTTATCTCTTTACATTGTACATGCACTAAAGCAAGCTGTGTAATCCTGCACTTAGTTGAGCATGAAAGTAAAGCTTTTTGGTTTTACCTTCCAAATCACAATAGAAGGAGAGATGATACAAAAAGGAAAACAGGCTTATGTTAAAGGAGAACATCTTACTGCAGTGATGCTTGTCTGGCCCAAACTGGTGAATTCCGTTCCGTATTTTAACTTGCATTTCATGCTAGCTGTGGAAAACATAGCCTAATTCGGGTATATAAGAGGTAAGATCTATATTAATTAGTCTTAAAGATCTAAAGTACTCCTTTATCGTAAAATGAGGACCAAATTAAATAGTTGAAACAACTGCCTCCATGCTCACGTTACTAAGTTTTTAACCACAACGAGTTGCAGAATATTCCCAATTCTTCTCAGAAACAAATAAAACCACCAAATAACAGGAAGAAGTAAATAAACAATGGCTATGACCTAGGAAAAAGAAGAGCTGCTTTGCAGGTATGTGACTTCTGACCAATATGATAAATGATAATCTATGCTCTACACCTTGCTATAAATGAACATGTGCGTGAATGTCAGCTGGTGCAAAAGAGACTCTCTGTTTAGAGCTCGGGTTTTCTTTCTTTCTCATGCCATCCTGCTCTGCTTCGTGCTCCTCTCCCAGACAATAAGCAGATGAGCACATTTAGATACTGTCCATGTACAGCAAAAAGTCAAGAGCTCACATTCCAAGGACTCACACCCCAGAATTCACACCTTGCAGAAACACAGGCTTTTCTTTAAGGTTATATAATAGATCTCTCTGGCTATGCTTTATAGCCTTCACACATTTGTTGTTCCACTCTCTTTTCCTGAATCAGAAATTGATGACATCTTCCTTGCAGTGAATTGAGGGACAGGGATATTGAAATCCTGATATTTCTGTATCAGTCCCAATCTTCCTTGTTTTTTACAAAACCAAATTCTTGCAGTTGGTGAAATCAGGATGAAATTCTCTGTCTAAACATTAATATGACCTCCCACTACCATACTCTCTACATTCCTCCCCTAAGACCTTGAAAACAGAAACAATAAAATTTCTCTCTTTTTTGTAGGAGTAACAGCCTGATTAGTAATTACCTGTGTAAGAAAGAAAGAGAGCCCCAGCAAAGAGTATAGGAGCATAAAACCGCTATAAGACAGAAGTGAGGTTGTACACTTTGCATATTAGTTTCTAACAGAATGTGTTCTCATTGGACAGTTTTATATAGTATGAGAATGAGACATGCAGAGAAGGACAAGCTCTAGTCAAGTATCTACATCCCAACTGGGAGACAGGCTAATCAGGAATTTTCAGCAAAAGATTTTTCCTCAGAATACACCAAATTGTCATTTTGTACTTGCTGTACATTTAACATCATTAATATCAGTGAAAAAAAAGGAGGAAATGTTTAAACACTGGCAAAAAGCTAAGGGGATGCTTCGGTTGTTGAACCCCTCCCTCCCAGCTCCATTTCCTTTCCTCTCTTCTCCCTCTGCATTGAAAGGTTGTGGATGGCCACCTCTTGCATCTAACAGTATGGTTCTTCTTTAAGTCAACTGCTGAGAGAGATGTCTTTTTCCAATTACAATATCTCAGTACCCCTGACACTGAGCACCTGAAGCCTGAAGACAGACAGCCACCAAAGGATGTTTGTCCTTTGTGAAATACAACAATTAGAGGATCAAGACAAGAACTGGGAAAGCAACTGATGAATCAGTGACAGGTGAGCAGACTGCACACACAGCAAGAGCTATGATGAGGCTTCTGGCATACTTTGGAGTTCAGGCTGTACAAACACTGACTGGTTCTTATGGAGCCTCTGCCTGGGGAAGCCACTACATGGCTCCAGGGCTCTCTGGAAAAGCAGAGAGGAGACAGCCACGGAAAGGAAACCCCTCACATTATGCTTTATACTATGAATTTCTGTAACTGCTTCACAGCATTTCTATACCAGCTGAGGAAGCAGTGCATGGGCTTTCTGTTCTGCTCACTGGAAAAGAATATGAAAGAAGCTCTGAAAACCCTGGGGATAGGTATTGCAAGTTGTAAAAAGCATTCGTGCAATATGGAAAAAACAAAACTTCTTTCTTCCTGGCATCTGCAAAGTGAAAGATGAAAAAACACATAAACTATCCTAGAAATGCACACACTTTTTCTTTAGAACTTGAAAGGCCCACAATTCAAAAAAAAAGGTATAAAAATTCCATCAGGATTTGTGTTATTATAGTATTCTTCACACCTCATTCTACTACAGTTTATTTGCTACTTGTTCTGCAACTGCTAAGGAGTTTTGTTTTCCAGCTAGTCTCTCAGTAACTACATGATGGTCTGTAAAAGCACAGAACATTCTGACTACTGAGGAAAACAGAACATAAACATATTTTAAAATAATCCACAACTCCATCTTGGTTTCTGCCTCCTGATCTGCACTTTCTATCAGCTTCATTCAATTTACAATTTGATGTCTTGCTTTATCTAGTCATTATATCAGGTTTATGTGGCAATTAAAAAACTCAGGTTTTCTGGGATTTTTGAAACACACCTTGCATATTTTTCCAATAGCATAGTTTAGAGAGGTATCACCTTTCAACGCAAAAATTCAGCTTAACCCAGAGCACCTAAAAACTTGCAAGCAAAAAAACACTGGAAAGCTCCCTAAACTGAAAATGGAGAATTATTACAAATATAGTAAAACATTCAAGTGTTCTTAAGAATATTTACAGAACACAGCACATTTTATAGTCAGATTAAACTAATCATTACATAAATGGTTTTGACATTTATATTTTCACCAAGGTGATTCATACAGTGTTTTAAAATGCCAGCAAGGATATAATTTTTCAGAAAACTTATAGTTTGACTTACCGGAAAGTACAGAAGAAGTGATCCAAAAAGAATGGTTTCCAACAGCACCAGCCCTGAAGCCCTGATACTCTAGAAGACAAAAAACAATACAAAATATTATAAAATTCTCTCTGTGTGCCATTTAGATGCTGGGTTCTTTGCAGAAGACACCTTCACTTTTGTCAGTATAATGCTTGCACAGTAACACTTATTAAAGCACAGTATTAAGCTGTCTGTCATATAGGCATGCTCCACATTCTTTAATTCACAGACCCATTACAATGGTTGTGTTTTACAAAATCCAATTTAAAAGAATCACTCTTTTCTATGCTAAATACTGTTCAACACACATTACCTAGAGACGTTTCAAAACTGCTAAAATTGCTCTCCAGTGTGACGAATTATGGATCATGGGAATTACAGACACAAATTTAACTGTAGAATTTGTTCTGTACTATTTCAATTTCAAGAAGTCCTTCGAACACTTTGACTTATTTAATATTAATGACTTGGCTTCTATAATATGTATGAATAATCTACAGTTTTACTGAATACAGAGCATGCTCTTAGATTGAAAGTCTTTTATTTTTCCTGAAATTTTGAAAAAAGATGTTGATTCAGACATTAACTTGTCAGGATTGTAAAATATCATGCCATTTCCTCACTGATTCTAATGCAGTCTCTCCATCATAGTTTTCTTACATTTTAAAAAAAAATTTTAAAAAATCAATTCTTTTTCCTAATACAAAGTGTATTCCAGTAAGTTTGATGATTTATGTACAGTGCATCTGCACCTTACCTTAAAGACAAAAATAACACTGCTTCCTGTTTCTTTAACCATCTCTTTCCCCTGAGATACTGTTTCATACACTGTTCTGGAAGAACACAGTGCTTTCCCAACTGCAAGCAATGCAGGCAGACAGGACAGCAAAAGAGGCTTTGCCAAAAATCTTTTGAAAAATCCCCTTCTTTCGCATCATAAAATCCTCTTGTGGGCTGGAATCAATGGTTTGTGGTAATCTCTCTAATGGTTTTAAATGGGAGTTGTTTATCTTTCAGAAGCAAGGCAATCATTAAAAAAAAAAATCTCTATCTGAATGGATTTACAGACAAATTTCTGGTGCCCTGGGGCCCAATTTCTGCTTGCAAAAGAGTGGTGGAATTTTCTAGATAAAAATTCACCTTTTCAGTGAATCTATAATCTTACTCAGATTTCCTATTTCACCATTCATTTTTTCAAGTGGTCACTTTGACAACATCTAATGTGCTGAACATAGGTTGAAAGATATAGAGAAAATACTCAGGAAGCCTTTTTAATATTAGGCAATTATGGACCTACCTAATTTCTAGCCATGGTGAAATTTTGCAGCGAAGGTTGTCTAAAGCATGTGTATCGGCAGAGACGTTATCAACATCCTACACAAGTGTCCACCTCAAAAATTATCATGAGAAGTTACTTCCAATGGGTATTCACATCAAAGTTTCTGTTTTGAGGAAAACACTAATGTAACAACTCCAGGGGCATCTTGGTGCTACTGATGCTATTTTAGTCACAGTTAAAGCCTGGAGTGATGATTATGAATGGTTGTCCACTGGTCTTAAGATGATAATGATGGCTATTTGGCTCAACCACTGCAAGGTTTTCCCAGGAAAATCTTGGGACCACACCTTATTTCCTTAATTTTGGGCCAGAATTTTTCATGTATTTGAGAATCATTATTATGGCTCCTCTTTTCTACACCTTTTGAATTCTTCCACTTTTCCTCTTGGATCTTAACCTTAAACTTGCATATTGAGGATTGCAAAACTGTTCTGTTACCTCTCTCTAAAAGTGCACCCTGAAACTGAGACATATATATTTCTAGCAAAATTCTCATGGAACTTACATGCTTCCATGAAACGTTTCTTAAAAAGCAAGGCAAAACAAAACAAAACAAAACACCAACACATAGCTAAAATACTATACCTATCTTTCTGAATAGAATGCAATGCCTGCCTTAGCAATTGCTGAAACTTGAATATCGACCCACAAGTGCAGCTTATATTTACACTGCGTTTCTGCAATGCAAGGCATTTGTTTCAAAAACCCGAATTAAGTGTTTTGGTTTTTTTTTTTCTATTACAATGTTGGGTAAAGCGTAAACACAATCCCAAATGCAAAAAGCTGGAAAACTGGTAACTGAAATGCCAGTGTCAGGTTTTTTAGGCTCAAGTGATCCCATTGTTCAATGACATATCAAATTCAACTGAGTCAGTACTTTATATAAATTATTTGTCACTTGGACAGATGAGCAGCCTCACCCACTAGTCTGTTAATGTAAAGGTGGTCCAGCACTCCTATACTGCATTTCCCAATGTAACAGCCCTGCCTCACTTCATCTAGAAGGATGCTCCAGAGAGACACTCAAAAAGCACTGTCCTGGTTTCAGCTGGGATAGAGTTAACTGTCTTCCTAGTAGCTGGTACAGTGCCGTGTTTTGAGTTCAGTATGTGAAGAATGTTGATAACACTGATGTTTTCAGTTGTTGCTCAGTAGTGTTTAGACTATAGTCAAGGATTTTTCAGCTTCTCATGCCCAGCCAGGGCACCTGACCCAAACTGGCCAACAGGGTATTCCATACCATGGGACGTCCCATCTAGTTTAGGAACTGGGAAGGGGGGGGCAGGGAATCGCCACTCGGGGACTGGCTGGGTGTCGGTCGGCGGGTGGTGAGCAATTGCCCCGCGCATCATTTGTACATTTCAATCCTTTTATTACTACTGTTGTCTTTTTATTAGTGTTATCATTATCATTATTAGTTTCTTCTTTTCTGTTCTATTAAATCGTTCTTATCTCAACCCAGGAGTTTTACTTCTTTTCCTGATTTTCTCCCCCATCCCACTGGATGGGGGGGAGTGAGTGAGCGGCTGCGTGGTGCTTAGTTGCTGGCTGGGGTTAAACCACGACAAGCACATATATCAACAGACAAAAAATTGCCCCAAACACATTGATTCTGTGTTTGTGAGACACTCATTTGTTATAAGCTACCCTAAATGTCAAACAAAGACCTGAAGGGACAATGACTATCTTTTATGGCTGCTGTAATAAAATTGTTTATGTACCCATATTTCTGTATTCAGATGCATTCAACTTTTTCAAATGGCACTATAAAAATCAATACATATAGACAACTTTTCAAAACTGCTTTCTGCAGACACTTCTGTTCTGATCTAATATAACACCAAAAAGCTGGAAGTAAATGTTTAGATGCCAGTTATGAAGTCATTAAATGGAATACTTCCAGGTTATTTTAATTAAGAAGTGACTAGACTCCCAATTATTTTATAGCTTAAATGTCTGAAGCTATGGATCATGCATACTACTTTGACATGTATAATAGAAAGCGCAAATATTTTTATAAACTATAAATGGCAGTATGAGTTATTTCACACTTCTAATGAACACATAAATTTAGCCTGAGCGAGACGTAAATTTTGTGTGCAGCAGATGAAAAAAAAAAAAGCTTAGAAAGCTTAGAAAAACTTAAAATCTGCTTCTGATAACACAAGTTTCACACTTTGTGATGTCAAGTTCCCAGCACTACATCATAATTTTAAAAAAAGCATTATAGGACCATGTCCACAAGATTCCTTTTGTGGCCCTGACTCTGCCGTAGCTGGCAGCTCCACACATTTTGATACAGTTTTTCTTCACATCTTTGTAAGACAACAGCACTTTACTCACTGGGAATTAATGCACTGGGGTCTGCCCAACACCATCCAAGACACTGGCAGAGGTCAGTGAAGTCACATCTCTCACGACTGATCAATACTCAAACCACCAAAGAATCTTTTTTTTCTTATTTTGTACAACGCATCTGTATATGACAGAATTGCCAAGAAAGTAGCTGAAATGGGTATCATACAGGGAAGACAGAAATGATCTAAAAAACCTGGTCTTCGAACAGGTTGTGTGAACATCCTTTTCTAAACAAGTCTTTCGCATCCTGATCAGTCTTTTCTTATTGAGCTTTCTTCTGGGCAGCATGATCATAAGATAACCTGCAGGGGCAAAGAACTTCAGCATTTCCAGCTCTTCTTCCAAAACAATGAATTAACCCCTGATTTTCTTCTCACCCGTGTTCCAGTAAGAACCATTTTCTGTGAATTCTGTCTATGCACTTCTGTTTCCTGCCCTAAAAGAAGAGTGACTTACAGAGCAACACTGGAATTCAAAATGAGCTTGAATCTAGGTTTTGACTGTGCTTTTTATCTCAGTCTTTGATACCTGGCGAATGGGAGTTTTAACCCAACATTTACAGATATCACCGCTTTTCTTAACAGGATTCTTCAGCAAATGGAGTAGCCATTCTGGCAGAGATGAATGCCATCCACAGCAATGAAGAAAAGCACAAAACTTCAAATAAGAAATAGTACAACCAAAGAACTATTCTTGCATAAGTGTAGAGAAAAGAAAAAAATAGGATGGAAATGGAAATATCAGAATTCTCCCGAAACACATTTTTGAAACTCTAATTGTTAATTTTCTCTACTGCAAAGAAAAAGAGGTATTTTAACAACAAAAAAGTAACACAAAAGCTTTTGGTTTAGCAAAAACCACATACATTGATTTAAAAAATATAGGACACTTTCGTCTTCCAATAACCCCCACGATAGCCCAAGGGGTAAGGTCCAGGAAGTAAAGTCTTCATCCAGCACTGAAGCTTTAATAACAGGGAATAGCTAAAGAGGAGAAAACCAAAATTAAAGCAGGATGTTTTTAAAATCATTTATTAGATAAAAATATTCAATATTAGGTAGATGGTATTTCCACCAGTCTCTGAGCACCAGGTTTTCCACTAAAAGTTGAATCCTCCACTGTACAGGCTTTGCAAATACAGGCCCCTAAGGCATGGCTGTGGGCAGCATCACAAATGCTTGACTTCATGGGAATCTGCAATACACACAGCAGTGAATATGCACCCATACCTCAGGAAAAAAGTCTTTGCTGGTTTAAGAAAACAAATGAAAGAATGGAAAGAAATGATAACCCTAGCCCTCCACCAACTGGTGTCCACCTACACTGTCTGCACAATTAAAATTCTCCAGTG